AAGAGCTAAATGATAGATTTTAACATTGGCTGTAAAAAAGCATATTACGTAAATTCTCGTAAGTCCATTGGTTTTTAAGAAAACTTATTAGTTTACAAAATATTGTATATATTTAACGAAATTGGATTTTTTTGGTTTTTTAAATATGTACAAATATGTACAACGTACGGTTGGATATAATATGACAAAATATGTTGAGTAACAATTATACAGAATTAAATAATATAAAAAAAAAATTACGGCTAAAAAAGTCTTAAGATTCTGTAATGTTTTGGTTTTATTTACTTGATTTTCGTGTAATTTTTACAACATAAAAATAGAAATACCAATATGAATTTTTTTCATCAAATTTTTGGTAAGTATAATTAGTTAATGACAACTAAAATGGTTTCTTCAGCGTTTGTCTGTCACTTTGCGGGTATTTTTTCCGGTAGTCTTGAACAGTCTAGAAAATATAATAACATTTTTAAGTTTAATTTATTTTGAAAATAGTAAAATATATTACTTGTAAAACAAGTTGTTTTTGTCCTTCGTTTTTTGTGAATTTCTTGTTATATTCTTCAACGAGCTTGACTCCCCTCTCAGCTGTGTCATTCACGACTTTTAGTGAGTTTATAATTTGTTTTCCTATTTTGTAGTCCTCGTGATTATTCCAATTGGCCGGGTCAATAGTTAAAAACTGTTTGGAAATTTGAAATCTCTTGAACATTCCAATCGATTTAGAGTTTATTAAATCAATTAAAAGATCTTTTTGAATAAACTGTGAAACATCTTCCAATTTCAGTGCTATTTTTTTTTTCAACTCGATTTCTTCCTTGTCATCGTTTATGCTTGAATCGTAAGTACTCAATATTTTCTCAGCCATTTTGAGTTTCGTACTGTTATCTACACGATCGTCAAATATCGAAAATGCAATACACTCTGGATTTAAATACCACAAATGATTTATTATTTTCTTTAATGCTACGTCTGAAATTCTTTTATTGTACAATTTATATTCTTCTAATTTTTTTAAAAATAATATGTCATTAAGTGGAGCTTCAATTGCATTGGGTGACGAAAACCAAGCCTGAACGTAACATTTAACTATAAAACAACAAATATCTTTTAACGCCTTTTCTTCTTTGCTGTTTAATTTAAATTGATCTTTAAATATGTATAGCTTTAAAGAATATATGGTCTTAGCCATCCATCTGGCTAAATGGTATGGACCAGGCTGCCTAAAAGCAATTCCTCGAGGTGGAACACCGCCTAAAAATATGATAACGAGTTCTAAAAACTCTTGGTAATCATCTCGAGGAAGATTTTCAGTAATTTTTTGAGCAATATCGAATAAATTGTTTAATTCATCTTCAAAGGCTCGCTCTCTTTTTCTGCACAAATCACTCTTCCTAGTTTTACTTTTTTCTAATGTTATCTAATCAAGTTCGTCATATAATTTTTTCAATTTTTTTATAATATTAGATGGATCTTGAGTAGGTATTCGAGCTTTTTTCCAAAATATTAAACACTCGTCAACAACTAGTGCTGCACTCTCTTGCAAACTTAATTTTACAATTCGTAAATTATAAAATAAAACACTCAAACAATTTTTTTTAGATGGCAATTTACTACCAGTAATTTGGTAGTCCATTGATCCAACAAGAAAAACGCGGTGCCGTGGCATATTAAACAATAATTAATCAATTTTAAGTACAACTTAATCCCTAAATTAAACGACGAAAGAGAAACAATACGCTTAGACCACTTATCGAATACTAAAATGGTGTGTGTTGTACATTAAACTATGAAGACAATATCGTAAATGTTTTGACAAAAATATCTGCCAACGAAAAAAATAAGATAAGATAAGACTTCGCAATATTATTCAGTGGTAACAAGGGTAACAGAACAGTTATATTCTAAAAATAATTATTTCCATAGCCACCGACAAATGTTTACAGTATTTCTTCGACTGATTAACTATTACATATTAAATAAAAATTGTACTGTTATCATACATCGATATATATTTATATTATATGCTTTTAAATAAACGAGAAAAATGTATATTACAAATTACAATACATTGAACATTTTTATTATATAGTTTTTCATAAAAACCAATGGACTTACGAGAATTTACGTTATATGATTTTTTATAGACAATGTTAAAATCTATCATTTAGCTCTTTACATATTTTCGTTAAATACTAAACCTTCTGAATTAAATAAAAAAAACAAAAAACTACCCCTTTTTCCATATTTCAACCCTAATGCGGCACCAGAAGGGGTTGAGTGAGATCTTCCAAATTTTACCCAAATGACTTACTCATATAAC